TCTCCCTGCTGGTGCAGCCCAGCCCAGCTCCATAGACCCCTGCCAGCCTGCACCCTGCTCTGGGCCCCACTGGTGCTGGCCCTGTGACTGGTCCCAAGACACTGGTCCCAAAATGGTGACCAGGGGGCAAGGCACCTGTCAAGGGGCGGGGCTACCCATGTGGCCCTCGACAGCTTGCCACAACTTGGTAAGCGGCCCCCCCCCGAAATAATCGCCTGCCCCTGCTTTAATGGTAGCATTGAAGAGGCAATACCATACATACATATACTTGATTCCAAAACAAGGTTTTTTTCCCCCTTTCAGCACTGGGGGGGAAAGCCCTTCATCTTGGATTTGAATACAAGGTGGGCGGGGGTAGGCACCTGCTGTGGCTCTGTCCGGTCAATCGGCAGCAGCGATTGCCGGCCCCGGGACATTGCTGCATGGCCAGGCAGAAGCTACACTTCCATGTGCTCTGTGCCCTGTGCAGGGAATGGAGCTGGAACCTCATCGGATAGTAAGAGGAGAGGGGGAAGGGGGCAGAGGCTGTGGGAAGTGTGGCAGCAGAGGCTGCAGTGGGGGCAGGGGCTTTGAGGAGCAGGCGGGAGGTAGAGACTGTGGGGGATAGGCACATAGTCTACACCCTGTGAGTTCTTAGACCCCTTGCTGGGTCCCACTCTAAGTAGGTGCCTCACGAGACACCCCAAGTCTTATGGGCTAAATGCGTGGCTCCAAAGCCACCCCTTTACCACGCCCCATGCCTTGCAGATGATATATCAATGTTCTCCCTGTAATGAGGGCTTGGTCAAATTCAGCCTTCTATTATCACTGGGCTTTCCACAGCCCTGCCGCTGTACCCCTCTGGTGCTGGGCTCTTCGCAGCCTGCCGTCATGCCCCCTCTGGCACTGTGGCTCCACATGGTAGTTTGCCCCTATGAGGCCTCCTCCTCCCCAGTAGCCTCAGGAGGATCCACCAGAGTACAAACAGCAACAAAAATATGAGCCCCTGGGCTATAACATAATACAAACAGTGCAAGGTGCACGCTGACTCTTTAAAAAGAGACAAACTTCTCCCTGATCATTGAGTGCCTTACAGCCCAGGGTACCTGATAAGCTCCTGGAGCCCCATTAGTCCTGTAAGCAGCATATCAGGCAGCCACAGTGTTTCTGAGCAGTTCTTCACTGCAGGAGCTCCCTCCCCTGGCACCTGCCGGGGAACTAACCCCTGCTAGTTCCAGTCCTGGGGCTTATATGTGCCCAGGGCCCTGCCTCCTTCCAGTCAGTTGACCAGGTACAGGTGCCAGCTGATTCCTTCATTAGCCTTCTGGCACAGCAACCTGCAGCTGTGGAGCTCTCTAGCTAAGCTGCCACTGCCCTTAACGGAGCAGGCACACCTCAGTGCCCTGTGACACAATAAACATTTCTTTAAGGACATCAAAGAAGATGCCAAAGACAGCCAGAGACCTTTCAGGGAGTCAGTTGGGCCTTTAGATGATTCAGGGGTAAAAGGGGTACTAAAGGATTGTCAAGAACCTTAGGGCTAGGGACAGAAATTACGCATAAACCAGTATAAGTGATTGGTAAACCAATTCAAATCTGTAATACAACAGAAGTTCAGTACACATAAACCGCTTTCAAAATGGTTGAAACCGGTTTAAGATAAACCTGAATGGATGTGGTATCAGACTTACCTGATTTAGATTAAATCAGTTTATTGAACATCTGTCCCACATCCCCTTCAGATCCAAATTAACTCACAGACCCTAGTATCTCGGGATGCTTTGCACCTGCCCTGCGAACCCCACTCATGGGGTGGACAGGCTAATCATGGCCCAAGCTATCTGCTCCAACTGGGCAGGGAGGCATTCTATAGCACTCCCTGGCTTCAGGCCTGGGCCATTGCAGGCACTTGGCTGCATTTCTAGAATCAAAGGTGAATGTTCACTTGCTTATCGGTTCAATCTACGCAGTTTAAACTAACCTGCAGAAATTGAATCAATTCAGCCTCAGGCTTTTTGACTGGCAGTATATAAAGTATATATGCTTTATATCTGTCTTTGCTGTAGAAGATGTTAGGGAAATTCCCTCACCAGATCCACTCCTCTCTAAGGACAAGTCTGTGGAGCTGACCCAAACTGAGGTTTCAGTAGATGAGGTCATAGAGGAAAGTGATAAACTAAACAGTAGCAAATCACCAGAACCTGATGACTTTCACCCTAGGGTCCTGAAGGAATTCAGGCTGGAAATTGCCAAACTCCTAACCATAGTATAGAACCTACCACTATAAAACACCTTGGTACCAGAGGACTGGAAAGTTGCTAATGTGACCCGAACATTTAAAAAGGGCTCTAGACAGGATGCAGGGAACTAAAGGCCAGTGAATCTAATGTATGTTTCTTGAAAACTGGTAGAAACAATAATAATTAAAAAAAAGAATGTTTGCACATGGATGAACATGACTTGTTTTGAGGGTGTCAATAAGCAGATGGATCAGGATGAACCAGTTGCCATTAGTGTCTTTGGACTTCCAAAAAGCCTGTTCGAAGGTCCCTCATCAAAGGCTCTTAACAAAGTTAGGTAGTCATGGGATTACAAGGGACATCCATTCATGGATTAGAAATTGGTTAAAGTATATAAATGGTCAGTTTTGGGAGTGGAAAGTAAACAGCGGTGTTCCCCAAGAAGGGAAAGGGAACTTAAAATATCATCATATCCTTTTATAAATCCATGTTGAATCCACATTTTGAATACTGTGCCCAGTTTTGGTTCCCACATCTCAAAAAAGGACATGGAAGAACTGGAGAAGGTACAGAGAAGGGCAAGGAGTGGCTTCCATATGAGAAAACTAAAGAGGCTAGGGCTATTCAGTTTAGAAAACAAATACTTGAGGGGGAACATGACAAGGGTTTAAAAAATATTATATGGTGAAGAAAAAGTAAATAGGGAGTTATTATTTATTCTCTCAATACAAGAACTAGAGATCATAAAATGAAACAAACAAATAGGTAGTAAGTTTAAAACTAACAAAAGAAAGGCAAAAGGCTGGGAGAAATGCTTTTGAGCTATGAAAATGTGACATCTAGCCTCCTACAGGTGCTCAGGGGGGCTCTGTGGCCAGGGCTTTGCTTGAAGATGGGACCTTTCAGGTTCGAGTGGTCACAAGAAACCCCAGGAAGAAGGCTGCAGTGGAGCTGAAGCAGAAGGGAGCTGAGGTGGTGAAGGGTGACCAGGATGATGAGCAGACGCTGGAGCCAGCCCTGAAGGGAGCATATGGAGCCTTTGTTGTGACAAACTACTGGGAGCACTGTAGCAAGGAGAAGGAGGTTGCACAGGTGCAAAACTCAGTGTATCTGAATGCTGTATAACACATTTGTGGGACAGAGAAGGACCTAATAGCTGCAGTGAGAGAGACACATGACACAGTCATTCCACAACTGTGGCTTGGTGCAGTATGACCAGCACCAAGTAATCATAAATCCTGACTCAGGACCTGGTTTTGCAATACTGTCATTGCTGGGTTTGCTGTGATTGCCCTCTGACCCTTAGGGCTCCTGTTTTCAAGCTTTTCTCCATAACCAGGAGAGGTAGAACTGGAGCTTGCTACATAGTGACTCCAGGCGCTGATGCACACTCTGAGTTCTGATCTGCACTAGCAAAGCCCTGCTCATTCTTGCCATTGCCATTGCCCTGCTCCCCGCCTGGCAAGGTAGGCTCAGGAGTTTGACTGAGTGCAGGATAGAAGTGGTAGATGTCTCACTGTCACACACTCTAGGAAGATATTGGCTCTTGCCCTGTTACTGTGCCCTTCGCTGTACCTATTATTCTTTTAGATGTGCTGCTGACCTGTTTTTGCAGGAAAAAAAATCCCTTTGTAAAACAGTAGTCACTATGTCCTCCTCAGCAAGGTGTGCACATCAGAACAGGGAAAGGCCAGCCCTGAGGTGCCCTTAGCAAGCATTGATTTATCCATTTTTGGTAAGGGACCAGCCTCTCCCAGTACCCAAGAACTGTGCACTGAGGAACAGTATTTCCTAGTCCTGGGGAGGTTCTTGGAGCATAGGTGCATCCCAGGTGGAGAGTTTGACTCACAAGAATCACCCACATTCACTGTTTCCCTTCCCATACCTGATCCATGCATAGGGCAAGCTGTTGGCTGACATGATGAAGAGGCTGGCCCTGTGCTATGTGGTGTACAGCGGCTTGGAGAATGTGAACAAGCTGATGGAGGGCCGGCTGGAGGTACTTCACTTTGATGGCAAAGGCGAGGTTGAGGAGTACTTCCGGATGATTGGTGTCCCCATGACGAGCGTCCGGCTGCCCTTCTACTTTGAGAACTTCCTCACGGTCTTCCGACCCCAAAAGGCCCGTGATGGGGAAGACTATGAGCTGGGTAAGGGGCCCCAGGGAACCATGGGAGTGTGTAGAATGTAGTTCTTATCTGCTTTCTAATAAAATTTTCTGTGAGTCTATGATATCAGAGGCATGGGGATGGACCAAAGAGCCTTTTCACTCCAGGGGTCTCCCCACACTGCAGTCAGAGGTGTGAGTGCAATGTGGGGAATGTACCTGAGGTAGCTTTAGTCTAGTCAGCTTAGGTAACAACAGTGGTGGAGAGGCAGCAGTCCAGGCTTTAGTGTAGGGTATATAGGCCCACTGGAGACTCAGAGTATTCCTGAAACAGTGCTAACACCTGCTCTTGACACAAACCCTCTGCTCCACTGCTCCAGTTAAGATTTGGTTCTAATATAGAGCTGCTTTCTAGCTTCCAGACTGTGCAGATTAACAGCAACTGGGGATGGAGCCAATAAGGGCACTAAAGGGTGGTACTGGCTTGGGCAACCCTTTCAAATAAGTGCTGAAGCAAAGGGGCCTGTTGCGCTCCATGATCTGGTCATGCGGCATGTCTCAGGAGGATAGCAGGGATGAATGAACCCTCTGCACCCATGGCTCCTTTCAGCAGCATGTGACCCTGATTCAGAGGGAATTCTCTTAGGTCCCTAAAGCCATTTCCCCCTCATGCTGTTTAAAAAACCACCCATTTCCAGTGCCCTAAACCTGTTAACTGTGGCTCTGTGGAAGGCTGGTATGACTCAAATGCTACAATGTCCTTGACTAGAAATTGAGTCCTTCACACTCTTTGCTCTGCAGCTATCCCCCTGGGAGAGACTCCCATGGCTGGCATGGCTGTTGCTGACCTGGGGCCTGTGGTGGTTCACCTGCTGAAGTCTCCAAAGGAGTATGTAGGCCAGGACCTCGGGCTCTGCACTAGCAAGTTCACTGTGGAAGAGTATGCTGCCACCTTGTCGAGACACACCGGGAAGGCTGTGAAAGATGCCAAGGTGGGAAGTGCCTTATTTTATTCTTTCTGTGGGAAGGAACAGGGACCTGGGCCATCAAATTCACCTGAGGAGGTAAAAATGTGCCAATGTCTTCCAGAGGGAACTGACTGGTGGTACTGGTTATTCAAGATCCTAGAAAAGAGGCAGATACTCACCACTCCCACACCATGGTCCTAGTCAAGGTCTAGGGCTAGACATTCACACTGGCCAGTCAGTCCAGAAGATCTTGGTCCCTGGGCTTTCCTTTTAGGCAGGACCAAAACATGGATGCATGCAAGGCCTCTGTGTTGTCCATCCATATAGCCCAAAGCAAGAGGCTGTCTGACTGACATCAGGGGAGTCACTTAAACCAATAGTCATAGGGACCACAAACTGCTCTTCTCATTTTTAGGTGTCCAAAACAAGATGCCAAGGATTACATTTATAGAATGGAGTGCCTATGACTGTGACTGAGGTCAGTGGGAGCTGTGCTTTGACCATATAAAGGACTATAAAAATTCTAAATCCTTCTAAATGCTAAATCCTTTTGGGCACCACACTTCAAGAGGGGCGCGGAGAATCTGGAGACTAGGAATAACGGGTGTAAACTAGTTGAGAGTGGATTTAGGTTAGATATTAGGAAGAAATTTTTCACAGTAAGGGTGGCCAGGATCTGGAATGGGCTTCCAAGAGAGGTGGTGCTATCACCTAGCTTGGAGGTCTTCAAGAAGAGGCTAGATAGTCACCTGGCTGGGGTCATCTGACCTCGGTCCTCTTTTCTGCCAGAGGCAGGGGGTCGGACACGATGATCCATTGTGGTCCCTCCCAACTCTACAATCTATGAATCTATAAAGATCTGACCATAAGTGTCTATAGTTGGGTAGCTAAAGTTAATGGACATTTTTGATAATTTTGGTCTTAACCTGGCTGTGCCTCTGTTCCTGTCTCTTAAATGACACTCTCCCCACCCCCACCTCAAGGGACCGTGGTGGCAATAAACCGCTTAACAGTGGTGCAGCACTAGGACCCTTGAGAAAGCTGTCAAAATGTGCAAGCAGAAATTCTGCAACACTAGGTTCAAGAGTTTAACCTTTTCCTGAATGAGGCAGAGTGTAAAAATAGCATGTAACCTTGTAGTTCTACTGCCTAATGGAAGGATGTCCAACTTTTAAGCCCCTGGGGACCACTTGCCACAGGCCGCACCAGGCCACTGGGCTGCATGCCATACAGACACTCCCTTTGTTATATTGCCTACCCACACATGCACCCCCGTCCCACACGCACACACAGGTGCACCACTTGGTTGCATTCTCTTCCCCCCCTCCAAATACATGTGCTCCTGAACTCACCCTCAGTTCCCCCACAATACACTGCACTGCAGCCCCCAGGAGTGGAGGCAGGAAGTGGGGCAGAGGGACCAGGAGACTGTATGTTGTTGCAGCTGGGACAGTAGGCCAGGCAGGAGCCCAAGGGCTGCAACTTAACCCCTTGTGGGCCACCTGTGGCCTACAGACTACCAATTGGACAGCTCTGCCCTAATGCACAGATCCCAGGGGGTTGGACTGAGGTTGCATAGAAAGGCTTAATTCTGGCATTCCCTCAGTTTAGATTACTTGACTTCGCTGCCTTTACATAGGTTGTGGGTAGTGGTGGTTGTTCTTTTGTATCCATTTTGGATTCTCTGAAGTGCCTGCCCAAGCAAAGTTTGACACACAACCCATTATTTATGCTGCAGAGTTCTGCCAGCAAAGCTACATCAGCTAGAGGTGCAAGACAATTGTATTCATCACTGATGCAGTTCTGGTTGCAAAACCCTAGGTACAGACACAATTCTGTCAGCAGAAGGAAGGGTTTGGCAGCAAAGCTTTAGTTGTTCAGGGGAATTCTGGTAATTCTAGAGGCAGAACAATTCCTGTTAATAGCAGAGTTGCATCCAGAACATGGGTCCTACCTGCATTAGTACTGCCATTGTAGTTAAAGCAGCAGTTCTCACAGGCTTCCTGCCTCTGCCCCAAGCATGCTTCCCCAGAGCAGATTTCTTCCATTAGTCTGACTTGATTTTGGACAGGTCCCTCCAGTTTTTCTCTTTTTTTTGTGCGCTGCCCTGAATTCTGTTTATAGGTTCTATGAAGGCAGTGGATTCAGTAAGTGTTTGAAATATAGGGGGGTTGATTTCCCCCCCCTTTAGAGACAAGAGCTTCCCATAAGCCCCCTGTGGCAGAGCACCTTGGGTGTTTGCCACCTTAAGGATGTGTGCAGGCTGCAGAGGAGCCTGCAGAGAGGAGTGACAGAAAGACAGCCCCCCTCCACTCAGAAGGATTTTAAGGGGGGAGGTGAGTGGTGGTGCACCTTTCGGTGCTTGCCACTTTAAGGGCCTGAGTGGGCTGTGAGGCAGCCTGCAGGTGACTGCAGAGCTAATCAGGCAGTCACATGATAGCCAGGAGGCTACTTGATTGGAGCAAGGCTGAGCAGCCTCAGAATAAGAGCAGGGCCTGAGGAGCAGAGCTAGCAGTTGCAGTTGGGGAACTAAAGGGTGAATGTCTCCTGGTTGGAGTATTGCTGTTCCTAGAACACCTGGAGGTTAAGGGTAGGAACGGTGGGGAAGGAGGAGGGTCCTAGGGACCCAAGGGGTCCCAAGCCCTGAGGAAATGGCTATGGGCCTAGGGAAAGCAAGGCCAGCCTAGGAAAGGGGCTCAGAGAGTGCGGGCCTACCGAAGGGCTGGGCAAGCCCCTGATTACATCTAGTAGTGAGGTCAGGGGCTCAGTTGAGCCCAGTGGAGAAAAGGGGCTGCCTTGTGTGAGATCTCTGGGGGCAGCAGGCCAGCCCAGTAAGAAATTATGGCTTTATGGTGGGGCCCAGAGGGGACTCCTGCTGAGTAGAGAGGTCAGCTGCTGCTACACTGATGCCAGGGGAATCTCAGCTGGTCAAAGCAAGGGGGCCAGGGCCAAAAAGCCAAAGGGCAAGTAAGTCCACCGCAAGGGGTAGGCCAGGGCTCTGGAGAGCTACTGGCACCCCGACTCCTCTGGAGGCGAGGCCAGAGCCTAAAAGAGGATGAAGGTCCCTTCAATGGGGGGGACCTTAGTGCCAAAGAGAGGATAGGCAATCAGCCGGCTGGCAAGCTGTAATGACGGAAGTGGAAGCCCTGACTCCTGAAAGGAGGTATCCTATGAAGGGCTTGAGAGACATGAGGCCAGGAACCGAGAGTAGGCTGTGTGCTGGAAGCTGCAGCAGAGTGCCCAGGGGTGAGTAGCCCAGATGGAAGAAGGAGCCAAGTGAGGGGAAGAAGGACCAGGGCGGGTAAGCCTGCAGTGGTCCTGGGGAATAACCTAAAACTGTACTCTGCTGGGGTTGGATGGTGTGGTGGGACTGCCTGTGGTAGGGTGGTCCCCAGAAAATGCGACACCTGTGCCTCCTTAGTGAAAAGCTCTGGAAAGCCTCAGCCCCTGCTGCCTTGTGGGTAACTTGTGGAGGGGAAAAGCTAGGGGAGCACACCCTGAGAGAAAAGCAGTAGGCTTGGGTGACAACACAGGGGCCAGGAGTGCCTGAGGCCCAATGCCTGAATGAGTGAAGCCTAGCGGGAGGCCAAGAGTGGGGCCCAGGCACATCGACAGACCCCTGAGGCCCAAGGGGTGCAAGGCCCAGAAGCCTCAGTGAGGGGGTGGAGTAGTGACCCCAGTGAGGGGGGGCACAGTGTGAGGGGCTAGAAGCCTCATGTGAGGCAAGGAGCCCAGAGTGTGTGGAAGTTGAGGCCCCCATGAGGGGCTGGAGTTGAGACCCCAGTGAGGGCATGTGGCCAAGGCATGTCTACAGAAACCTGAGGCCAAGTTTTGGCCAGAGACCAAGTGCAGCCCAGTTAAAGGGCCAGGAGAGCAGTAGTGATTGTGGATGCCATCTCCGAGGCATGGGACACAGTATTATCCATACAGGTGAGGTTGAAGCCATGTATTATGCTCTTGGCATCAGAGCATTAAATGGGCAACCTCCTGTGTTTTTCCAACTGCTTTCTTTGATACATCGAGGCGTGGCAGGATGATTAGGGCAAACTGCCCTAGATGGGTGGGCGGGCTGACATTGTGACCGGCCCCAGGGATGACCCCCTGTCACGGTCCCCTATAAGAGATGAGAGGTCTTATGGAGAGGTCCCAGCCTGCCCCATGCCTTTGTAAGCAGCTCAGGTGGTGACAGTGGCAGCAGCAGGTCCTTCCAGCTTCCAGCTGCCACTGCTCCAGATCTCCACTCACCCACCCACCCAAGAGTGAGAGTATAATTTGAACCTTGAATTCCATGATCTTTCCACATGGCTGTAGAGCTGGGTCTGCACTTTGTTACAACCCTCTGCAGGTTTCTTGCCTACCCATAGACTTGTCCCTTTTCTATACAGATTGTTTGTTTATTCCAGGGCCCCAGTCCCTTTTATACACAGCAGTTAATAAAGCTGCCCAATAATCCTGTTTAAAGAAAGGTGAAATTGAGACAGAAATCAAAGCTAAAACTTTCAGCTGTAGTCTGTGCTGTTGAGTACCTCACTTAGAATGTTTAAACTTCCATACAGACAGCAACTGGAGTGCCAGCTACTCAGGCTCTCCAGTCATGTCCTAGCACCTCCAACTGGCACTTCTGGAAAAACATATGTAAGTGTGACAGGAGCAAACTGCCAAGCCTGGTCTCGGTACCAGCCCACCACCTGTCCACGGGCAAACCTCCCACCTCACTCCCTTGCCATGCCTTGTTGTTAAATAATTCAGATGTTTAGGCAGGAGGCTGCCCTTTGAGCACCTTGTTGTTCCCGGATGGTAAACACATGACTCCAACCATCCCTTATCGTGTCCCATGCCTCATAGATGACATATAGTTTGTTACAGCTCCAGCTTCAGCTGGGCCAAACGCAGTGCATTGTTAGGCCTCTTGCACACTGCCCTATTCAGGGCCACACTCACTCTGCCCTCCTCTCACTGGGGCCTCTGACACTCTGCGTGCTCTCACCAGGCCTCTCTTACACTGCTCTGTTTCTGGGCCACATACACTCCACCCTGTTCCCTTTGAGCAACCATGTAGGCCATCAGGATTAACTCTCCACTCCTTGGCCAGCCATGGTGCAGCCTTTTGGGTCTCTCCCACAACCCATATCTGCATGGTGGCTGAGCAATTTACCAAACTATGGGCTGACTCTGCTCTTAGCCCCCCACTGGGCCACTTCACCCCTCCTTTGGGCCAACACTCTGCCCTTACCCTGGGACCTGGGGTCTTACACCCCTATAGGTCTCTCTCTCTAGGTGTGCCTGGCCTCAACTCTGCCCTTTCATTAGGGCCTGGGGTCTTACACCCCCTTTGGGCTCAGGTGTTTCTTTGTAAGTGTGCCTGGCCTTAACTCCTGGATCTTACACCCTTATGGGCTCAGGTACCTCTCAGTAGCATGCCTGCCCCTGCCTCCCTTTCTCTCACAAAAATCCACCGGATGGTAGGGGTTGGGGTTAAGGCACCTTTACCCGCCTTTCACCAGAGAGATAAATGGCCTGGCATTTCTTGGGGACTCCCAGGCCACAGGGAGTCCCACCAGGCCACCCTTCCCCTGCAGGGTGAAGTTTCCAGTCATGCCCAAGACCAGGAGCCTCCTGCCATCCCCATAGCTCCTGCCCTTACCTCCAATATGTTCCAGGTGCAGTAGCTCAGCTGGGTGACGTGACTCTTTTGACAGCTGGCAGCAAACTGCTGCTCCAGCCCCGAGACCTGGGCTCTAAAATGGCCACCCTCTTCAAGCACCTGCCGGCTGCCTGCTCCAGCCCATAAAGTGACAGGCACCCGAAAGGTGCTCTGTCACATTAAGTGATTTATGCTGCGTTGCAGAGGGACCTCCATCTGAATGGAACCAGAACTCCGGCACCCCAAACTCCACACTGCGGCTTCAGCTACTATTACAACTTCACATTTGTGTGTGCACACTTCCTCCCTCCCCCCCAGTTTTGCTCTGTAACACCTCAGAGGAGTAGTTCAAACTGCCTACAGTAATTATGGATGTGTGGTGCCACCTCATGGTTAAATGAATGACAAACAGTATCCTGTTCAGAATTTTATGGTAGTAGAGTGGATGATCCAGGGATTTTGGATTTGGAAGAGGGGAAGTGGGGAGGGGGAGAGGTGCTGCCAGTGATGGGGATCTGGGCAGCAGTTGGGAAGGGCATGGTAAAATCACATTAGTTTATTTCCTACAGAAGCGATCTTCCTATAAAGCACTTCTAAGGACTTGGACTTCATGCTCGCTTCAATTTTATTATGTGACTGCTGTTTTAGCCTCACTCCAAGAAAACCAAATCTAAATGTCACTTACAAATCAATAATAGACCCAAAAAGCAAGTTGCATCAAGGCCCATACCACCATGTTAGAAATATTCCTTTTTAAATTCTCTACAGACCATGTTGGGGTAGAAATTTTACCCCATTTCCAGCAGGGAGGGATTAAGAGTAACATGAACCGACCCCCTAATTCTTGTTCTGACCAGCCAAGACTTCTCTCCACTCCCATTCTTTCTGCAGATCTCAGCTGAGGATTATGAGAAGCTTGGCTTCCCTGGGGCCCAGGAGCTGGCTAACATGTTCCGGTTCTACGCTATGAATCCAGATCGCAATATGGAGCTAACCCTGAAACTTAACCCCAAGGCCAGAACATTTGATCAGTGGCTGGAAGACAACAAAGTCAACTTCAAAACTCTCTGAGCCTCTGTGCAACAGAAACTAGTGAGTATCCCAGAAAAGCACAATCACTGTTGAGCAAGTCTGCATTTTCAGCACAACTTTCAAAATAAAAGGATTTGTTTCTGTAGTTCGGTGAAAAACTGGAGCTACAATAGCCCAGTACCAGATTCTTAATGGTACACAGGGAGCAAGCAAAAGCTCCAGGCTACAGGCATGCGCTGTGTAGAATGAATGATGCACCAGCCTCTCCCAATAACTAATGTAGGGTTACCATATTTCCAGTATCAAAAAAGAGGACACTTGGATGGCGGGGAGGGAACAGGGGGAAGGGGTAAATGATTGTGGGAGGGGGCAGTGATATGCCCTTGCACTGTCTCTGCCCCTCACTCCTAAGCCACAGCTCCCCCCAGCCCTGCTGATGCTTCTCACTCCTGATCCACTGTACCCCCCTCACCTCTGTCGGTGCCCCTCACTCCCAACCTGCAGCTCCCTGCCCTCCCACTCCCCAGCCCTGCTGCCCACACAGCTTGCATGTGCACACATATGCTCTCTCTCTCTGTCCCCCATTCCCCTACCTGCTGGTGCCCACGCAGAGTACATGATTTCCCAACAGCCAGTGACCTAGCCCCACTGCCCCCAGCCCCAAGCAGCCAAGCTGGAAATGCCTGGGAAAAGCCAGAGGCAAAAAAAATCCAGACATGCGCTTGCATTTTAAAAACCCACCTGGACAGGGGGCCAAAAAAGATGACAGGGAGAACTGACTCCGTCGCACTTGCAGGGAATCAGTTAGAGAGGCCAAAGCAGCAATGGAACTCAGGCTAGCATCAAAAATTAAAGACAATAAAAGTCCTTCAGGTATATAGGGAGCAAAAAGAATGCACATGGCAACATAGATCCCCTACAAAACAGACTAGGGCAATTGGTGACAGATAGGAGCAACAAAGCTGAGCTCTTCAATGAGTTTTTTGCATCTGTATTCCTGAACATGGATAAAGACATATCTCCCAGTTGGATTACAGACAGGCACAAGAGGGACACCAACACTTAGCACCGACCTAGTGAAGGGACACTTGGAGGGGCTGGACGTGTTTAAGTCAGCAGGCCCCGACGATCTTTATCCAAGGGTGCTGAGGGAATTAGCCACTCTCGTAGCAGAACCACTGGCAAGACTGTTTGAGCACTGGTGGTGCTCAGGACAGGTCACAGATGACTAGAAAAGGGCCAGTGTGGTCCCTATTTTCAAGAAACAGAGGAAGGAGGATCCAGGTAACTATAGGCCAGTTAATCTCACCTCTATCCTTGGGAAAACCTTTGAAAAACTTATTAAGGAACACATTTGTGGGAGTCCAGCAGGAAAAATAATGCTGAAGGGCAACCAGCATGGATTTATAGCAGGTAGATCCTGCCTGACTAACGTTGTTTCTTTTTACGACCAGGTCACAAAATGCTTAGATACAGGAGTCAAGGTAGATGTCATTTACTTGGATTTTAAAAAGGCCTTTGATGCAGTGTCGTATCCCATTCTTATAAATAAGCTAAGTGGCTGTGATGTAAATGATTACACAGTCAGGTGGGTGGCAAATTGGCTTATGGAACACACTCAGAGAGTGGTGGTAGACGGGTCGGTATTGACCTGGAAAGATATGGGCAGCGGGGTCACCCAAGGTTCAGTCCTTGGACCAGTGCTGTTCAATATCTTCATCAGTGACTTGGATGAGGGCGTGGAGAGTACTCTGTCCAGATTTGCAGACAACACCAAATTATGGCTCCAGGTAAACTCACGGGTGGGCAGGGAACGGATTCAGGCAGATTTGGACAGGTTGGAAAAGTGGTCAGAACAGAACAGGATTCAGTTTAACAAAGGTAAGTGCAAAGTGCTGCATCTAGGGAGAAAGAATCACCAACACACTTACAACCCTCTGGTTGTGGGTCCGGCTTCCGTGCCTCTGGGCCAGGGAGTGCCGGGCTCCATAAGCGAGTGGGAAAGGGGGCCACGAGCCTCCAGGCACTGGAAGGAAAAAAAAGTTAGAGCCTCAGAGTCAAGCCCTGTTTAGTGGGTTTGGATGGGGAGGCCTAGCCAGAGAAAACAGGGGTCAAGCCTTAATAGGAGAGACCCCAACATACCCAAAATAATAGGCAGTCTCCCGCTCAAAAAAAACCCCAAAAAAACTCCATCAAGATGTGGCAGGCGAGATTAGGGTGGGGCCAAAGAATTACAAAGCAGGCCCCAAGGGCGCCCCACGTAAGGCGCGGATAACCAGAAAGATGGCACCGGGGAGGGCAACCTGTTACAGAGCTGTAAAATATTACTGGCCATTTTCACTTAGCTTCTGGTGGCACAAGATCTGATTTGGGTCTTTTTTTCCTCCTAGTTCTATGATCTGGATTTCAGCAAAGCTCACTCTCCCTAAGGAGCTCAAGATTAGACTGAGTTAAATACATATCCCTTTGCTTTTACACTGTTGTAATTAAAGCTGCACTTACCTGACCAACCATTGCAACACCAGGAAGTCACATCAATGTGCACGGAGGCTTCAGAGACAAAGCCAAGGTTTTCTAAAAGTCAAGCAGCTATAATTAACCCTTTACGTATACAGCTTGTGGTTTAACTGAATTAGAGATATGAAGCGGATTTTTATAGCTGGTGATTCCTGAGCTTCCAAGAGGGCACAAATGGAGAGTTAACATTTTCACACAGGCTATTCTCAAAGCTTATGCAGGTGTGACAGGCTAGCCAGTGGCAGCTTGGCCCGGGGGGGTTGGAAAAGTAAAAAAATTATTGGTGGGGGGGACTCCCTTTTCTCCACCAATCAGGCCCCTGGAGAAGAAGAAGGCTGCCCCTGCCCCCTCACCCAGGGGCCAGGTAGAGCCTGGACCTGAGCAAAGATTCACTTCTCACGTCTCCAGATGGGTCCCGACGGCCACCTGGGGGGGATAAAAGGGGCAGCACACCTGGCTCCGAGGAGAAACAACAAGGGACAAAGGAGAGGAGTCCTGAAGAGCTGGTATGAGTTGGCCAGCAGGGTGGAGCAGTTGCCCCAGAAGAGCCCTGGAAGCTGCAGGAGGTGGCTCGGCTCGGTAGCTTGGCACATGGGGTGGTGCGCAGTGAGTCTCCAGTGGGGAGCCAGGGCCTGGGAGACGCAGGAGGCAGCTCAGCTCATTTGGAGCACTGTGCAGGGCAGAACACAGTGGGTTTGAGAGGAACCCAAGCCCCGAGCTGCAGGCAGCAGCTTGGGCCCTTTCTTTCTTTTTCTTTCTATCCCTTGGCATGAGGCCAGAAGGATCCTGGAGGGACTAGAGCCCTGGAGCTGCAAACAGTTGCTCAAGCATTGATGGCTCTGTGGTAGAGGTCTTGCTAGCTACATGGAAGACCTGGGTTCAATATCTGCCCAAGGCACCAGAGAGGTGTGAAGAGGGAATCCTCACTGGGGAG